AGCATCTGAGCAGTGCCCTTCCTTAGCAACATCTTCTACATGCTGGACTGAGGACCAGAACTGGACCTACAGATTGAGGGGTCAGTTTTCTGATCTACTACATCACACTCCTGGAGGACAGTGAACATAAGCCTGACTTACATGGCACAAGGCTCCATCCCTACTTCGTGACAATTCCCATTGCTACCCTCAGCCCCTGGGGGTCTTCCAGGGCCCCAAAATCACAGCCTTCCCTCCAAGCACCAAGAGCCACTGAGGAGACTTGCTTGCTGACTCTGTACCCTTGCAAATGCTGTTCTAGACATGCAGACCAGTGGGTGGGGAACCATCGTGCACATGCGCACACGCACACACACACACGCGTGCACGCTCCCAGTGACCACTCCATTAGAGGAACCCTGGGCCTATGTGATGCCCCTCCTCACATGCCTCCCTCCATGAACCTTTTCAAAAATGGTGCAAAGTGGGCTCTTGTGGCCTCACACCTGTAATCCTAGCTGCTCAGGAGGCTGAAAGCTGAGGATTGCAGTTTAAAGACAGCCCAGCCCAGGCAGAGAACTCTATGTGACTCTTACTTCCAATAAACTATTCAGAAAAAAGCCAGGGGTTGCGCGGTGACTCAAATGGTAGAGTGCTAGCCTTGAATACAAAGAAGCTCAGGGACAGCATCCAGGCCTGGAGTTCAATCCCCAGGACCAGCAAAAAAAAAAAAAAAGAAAAGAAAAGAAAGCTGTGTGAGGGCTAGCGCACTCTGAAGAGGCTCCAGCCTACCGCTGGGCCTGGAGAGGCAGGGATACATCTTACGACAAGGGGCTCAGGCCTCAGCTGACGCAACAGCAGCCCTGGGGTTCCTCTCACTGCACACATGGAACAGGACAGCGCCTAAGGACTTGCCCAGCAAGTGCTGGGTGAGTGTCCTGTAGGTGCAGCTAGCCAGGGAGCACCAGCCAGCTCGGGGGAGGTCAGAAGATGAGGCTTCCCCACCTGCAAAATGGGTCAGGACAACAGGGAACCTTCCGTCTGAGAACTTGCTTTCTCTGTGAACTATAAAGCAAACCACTTCTAAAGGCGGGACGGGGAGCTCATGCCTCTGAGGAGAGAGTATGACTACGAGGAAAGCAGAAAAATCAAGCCTGCTGCAGCCCCAGGGCCAACGGAATCATGCTGAGGTAAAAATGGCCCACACGGGCCTCCGTGGTCCAGTACACCATACTGTATAACCACATAGTCAGGGCAATAGCTAAGAAAAGCTATCAGATATCCTGAACTCCGAGGTACAAGACGCCAGGTTGTACAGCCTGACACACTGCCCCTGACCTGAGTCACACGGATGACAGTGACACACTGCCCCTGACCTGAGTCACACGGATGACAGTGACACACTGCCCCTCTGACCTGAGTCACACGGATGACAGTGAAACACTGCCCCTGACCTGAGACACACGGATGACACTGACACACTGCCCCTGACCTGAGTCACACAGATGACACTGACACACTGCCCCTGACCTGAGTCACACGGATGACAGTGACACACTGCCCCTGACCTGAGTCACACGGATGACAGTGACACACTGCCCCTGACCTGAGTCACACGGATGACACTGACACACTGCCCCTGACCTGAGTCACACGGATGACAGTGACACACTGCCCCTCTGACCTGAGTCACACAGATGACACTGACACACTACCCCTGACCTGAGTCACACGGATGACAGTGACACACTGCCCCTGACCTGAGTTACACGCATGACACTGACACACTGCCCCTGACCTGAGTCACATGGATGACACTGACACACTGCCCCTGACCTAAGTCACACGGATGACAGTGACACACTGCCCCTCTGACCTGAGTCACACAGATGACACTGACACACTGCCCCTGACCTGAGTCACACGGATGACAGTGACACACTGCCCCTGACCTGAGTCACACGGATGACAGTGACACACTGCCCCTGACCTGAGTCACACGGATGACAGTGACACACTGCCCCCCTGACCTGAGTCACACGGATGACACTGACACACTGCCCCTCTGACCTGAGTCACACGGATGACACTGACACACTGCCCCCCTGACCTGAGTCACACGGATGACAGTGACACACTGCCCCCCTGACTTGAGTCACACGGAAGACACTGACACACTGCCCCCCTGACCTGAGTCACACGGATGAATCTGACACACTGCCCCTCTGACCTGAGTCACACGGATGACACTGACACACTGACCCTGACCTGAGACACACGGATGACACTGACACACTGCCCCTGACCTGAGTCACACAGATGACACTGACACACTGCCCCTGACCTGAGTCACACGGATGACAGTGACACACTGCCCCTGACCTGAGTCACACGGATGACAGTGACACACTGCCCCTGACCTGAGTCACACGGATGACACTGACACACTGCCCCTGACCTGAGTCACACGGATGACACTGACACACTGCCCCCCTGACCTGAGTCACACGGATGACACTGACACACTGACCCCCTGACCTGAGTCACACGGATGACACTGACACACTGCCCCTGACCTGAGTCACACGGATGACACTGACACACTGCCCCTGACCTGAGTCACACGGATGACACTGACACACTGCCCCTCTGACCTGAGTCACACGGATGACACTGACACACTGCCCCTCTGACCTGAGTCACACGGATGACAGTGACACACGCCCCTGACCTGAGTCACACGGATGACAGTGACACACTGCCCCTGACCTGAGTCACACGGATGACAGTGACACACTGCCCCCCTGACCTGAGTCACACGGATGACACTGACACATTGTCCCTGACCTGAGTCACACGGATGACAGTGACACACTGCCCCTGACCTGAGTCACACGGATGACACTGACACATTGCCCCGGACCTGAGTCACACGGATGACAGTGACACACTGCTTCACCTCAGTCACTCAGAGGACTTACTTTGTGACCTTGAAGATCCTCAGCAGGCGGAGGGCACGCAGCACACTGATTCCAAAGGAGGTCCCTGGCTTGATGGCAGCCCAGACCACTTCAAAGATGCTCCCTACGATGACCTGTTAGAGGAAGACACATCTGTACAGCGGGCTCTCCAATGTGCACACAGGGTAGGTCGGTGGTGTGAATCATGTCTGCATCTGTGTGGCTGCGTTGCTCAGTGTGGGCAGAATACAATCAAGGACGTGTAGGTTGCGCCACTCCTATTAGCTCTAAAACCCCACGGAAGCTGCAGTGGCCCACAGTCCTGACCCCTGTCTACCCTTACCCTGGTCCCACATAGGGACATCCCAAGAAGGTAAGGATGTGGAGCAAGGCTAGCCCTGCTGGAGTCCTGGCAGTGCTCCGAGCCCCCTGTCCAATGAGCCTCACCCTTGCTTGTTGCTCCCTGTATCGTAAACACTTCCACCAGCCCTAAGCACCAGGTGCTCTCTGCCAGACTAGGAAGATGTGTCTCAATGCACAGCCCCCTCTAGTCCTGCCACAGTTCTAACATTTTCAGATTCATAAACTGCAAGCCAAGTACTTGGGTTTTTTTTGGTTTTCTTTTCTAGTAACCAGGACCCCACATAGGCCACCACGGACAGACAGAGTGTGAGGCCTGTTCCTTTGTCTGACAGGGCTCAGGGTCTGCTGATCTGAGCTGACTTAGGCTTGAGAGAAAGTGGCACGCCCTTCCTGCCAACTGCCCCCAGACGGAGAGTGGGAGAGGCCATCCTAACCGGAGCTTGGTACGAGAGACTCAGAAAGAGCAGAGCAACGTAGGTGGAGCGCACCCTTCCCAGAATCTTTCCCTGGACAGGGTGAGCAAGAGCCTCGCCGCCCCACTTAGCGGGACACTCTTGGCCTCACACCTTCCCCTCATTTTCTAACCCACTCCTTCACATTTGGCAGAAAACTCAAATGTTGAGCATTAGTCTCTTCAGTTACATTTTAGTATCCTTGTCCCATATATTGTCCAAGGCTTCAGTCATTTCCACCAATTCCACACTGACAGAAAACCAGACCCCATCTTGATAGTGGTGTTCTCATCAAGTCACTGAGGGAAGAGTGAGCCCAACAGGACAGAGCCTTGTGGTACATCACTAGAGACGTTCCCACACTGGTAGCCGGCCCTCTCTGTGTGTGGCTGGTACATAATTTACGAGACAACTCACAGGTACTGCCATTTGCTGCACATTTTCTACCTTCTCTACAAGTGGGTTCACAATATATGAGGCATCCTGCCAACCTCCCGAGGGGCAAGCCAACACCTGCAGCTCCACCTGCACAGCTCAGGAGAACCTCCAAAGCCCGCAGAGGGGCAAGCCAACACCTGCAGCTCCACCTGCACAGCTCAGGAGAACCTCCAAAACCTGCAGAGGGGCAAGCCAACACCTGCAGCTCCACCTGCACAGCTCAGGAGAACCTCCAAAACCCGCAGAGGGACAAGCCACCACCTGCAGCTCCACTTGCACAGCTCAGAACCTCCAAAACCCGCAGAGGGGCAAGCCAACACCTGCAGCTCCACCTGCACAGCTCAGGAGAACCTCCAAAACCTACAGAGGGGCAAGCCAACACCTGCAGCTCCACCTGCACAGCTCAGGAGAACCTCCAAAGCCCGCAGAGGGGCAAGCCAACACCTGCAGCTCCACCTGCACAGCTCAGGAGAACCTCCAAAACCTACAGAGGGGCAAGCCAACACCTGCAGCTCCACCTGCACAGCTCAGGAGAACCTCCAAAGCCCGCAGAGGGGCAAGCCAACACCTGCAGCTCTACCTGCACAGCTCAGGAGAACCTCCAAAACCTGAAGAGGGGCAAGCCAACACCTGCAGCTCCTCCTGCACAGCTCAGAACCTCCAAAACCCGCAGAGGGGCAAGCCACCACCTGCAGCTCCACCTGCACAGCTCAGAACCTCCAAAGCCCGCAGAGGGGCAAGCCACCACCTGCAGCTCCACCTGCACAGCTCAGGAGAACCTCCAAAACCTGCTCCTAGTGGCACAAACTATTGAGCAGCCCTGGCCCAGCCACTACTGACCCCAGGGTGAGAGTCATGCTGAATTTTCAAGTTTTCTTTCCATCTAGACCAGGTAACCCCACACTCCACAGGACAGACTACAAGGGCTTTCACAGAGCTCTGGCTCTCATCGGCCACTCTGCTTTTAGGCAAGTGCCACCAGAACCACACCCTCCAACTCTGAGCTCAGCCCTAGCGATGTGCCCTGCGTGCACCTTTGGGCTGGGCAAGGTGCTTCTCCTTGGCCCCTGGCCTGTCCCTGGCCTCCATTCTCACAGTGAGTGGTGACAACACTGGCCTCTGGCCTCACTGACAGCGAGGCAAGGGGAAGTCCAGCCCACTCCCACTATACCGCTCGCCCTCACCCAAGACCCCCGCCTAGGCTGCCTCCCCAGCCTAAGTACCGGTACCTATCTCCAGGTCAGATCCACAGGACCATGGGGCTCAGAATCCATAAACAAGGTCGGAGAAGCAAGGACAACAGTTTGCATTGGGAAGTGCTGCAGCTGGTGCTCTGGAGGTAAGGTGTCCAGGACCAGCCAGAACCACGCGGACTTGATGCTGCCGTTCTCATCCCCAGGGCTACAGAGCTCAGCCCACAATGAGTGGGCATGTGGGAAGGACCACGCACATTCTCGAGCAGGGACGTAGTTTAGAGCTTCCCAAAGCCCACCACGGGACCCCAAATGAGTTGTCTCACTCACCCCAAAGTCAAAGCAGTTGAAGGAAGACCGGAAGTAGCTTCTAGGCCCTAAGCCATACATCTTTAGAGACATCTCTGTGAGGAAGAGACCCAGGAAAACAAACTCTGCAAAGTCTAGGAGAAGTTGGAGAAGACAGTGTTAGCTCAAGACTCCTCCCACCCTGCCTCTAGCCTGACCAGAGGGACCTGCTCTTCCAGGACCATGCCTTTCCAGCCTGGTCTGTACCCCATACTGTCACTGCAGCCCAAAACAGGGATGATAGAAAGAGCCATGAGAGATGTTAGTTCCATCCTGGATGCCAAGGGATGCAGCTTTGGCCTGGCCTGGTGCTGAGACCCAGGGAGTCCTCGGGAAGAGACCGGAGTCTGGGGAGGAGGAGAGCACAGCTCCCGCCAGCTCTCTGCAGGCTTCCACCATCAATTCCAAGCTCTGGTCACAGGGGACCTTATCGGAGCCTCTCCATCCCTCCACAAAGACTTTCTGATACTCTGCCCCAGGCATGCTCAAAGCACCATGTTTGACGTGAACTTTGTTCATGAGTTTGTCCCACGAAACAAACTCCACCACACGAACCTTCTGGGCCCACTCAACACAAGTTCCCCAAGGCACTGATGTGTGAAGGCCTCGTGCCATCAGTAAGCAGTGGGCTAGCAAAGGTGCTGAACTGAGAGTCCCACCCACAGCCCTGCAGGCCCCCAGGACTCAGGACTGAGGGAAGACACACACCAAGGCACAGAGAGGCTCTTTGGCATGTCACCCTTTAGTCCTGGCCCTCCTGGCTCCCCTCATTCCAAACCAGGCCTGTTCTTCACACAACCTCGCTGATCTTGAAGTTACTCTCTGCCTGACCCCGGCAGGCCGTGAGGGAGAGAATATCAAGGCCACAGCGGCAAATACTGAAGCATTCCTCAGAACAGAGGAAATCCTCCAACCTTCTATCAAAATGGCCTCAGCCTCAAACAGGGATCCTCCCTATGAGACCAGAAAAGGGGTCCAGACATTTACTCCTGTGTTACTCATCCAGCGAGCCGTGGCTCACAGGGGTCGGAGGCTAAGGGGAAGAGAGGAAGGCAACTCTAACAGTGTTTTCAGTGTGAGGGGTTAATGTGTTGGGGACAGAGCAATCGCATCCGTCTCTCAGTGCACGAGGCCTCCCAGGGTTTTGCAGCTCCCCTTCCCATCCAAGCATGGCTTTGAAGGCTCTGACAACACATCAGGATGTCCTAGTGGATGGAGACCAAGTGCAGAACCAACCACGTGCAGGGCCACAGAGTCCAGGCAGGGGAAAGGAGTCCATGCTTCTAGCAATCCCGCATTACCCTATCCTACTGCATCAGCCCAGCCTTGACTGAACAGAAACCTTCAGACCCAGCCAACATCCACCTCTCCCTCTAACCACGCTCCTTCACTGCTGCCAGTGGGGCCAGGAGTTTCAAGAGACCAGAGACCAGAAAGCCATAGGGGGCAGGTTGCAGTCAGGCCGGCCTGTGGCCTGGCCCAAGGTTGAGGCATTTGGGGCCTGGGCTCCCATGCGACCCACGTGCAAGCAGGCTAGCTCTCCTCCCTACAACACGCCTAGCCTGCCCTGACAGCAGACACCCAGGGACAGTCACAGTCCTACCGAACCCACTGGTGCCAACAGGGGGAGAAGCGGGTGGACAGTCGGCCCTGCACCCCCGCCCCTGCCCCCGAGAACCTGAGCCTAAGCACACATAAGAAGTGCCCTGTGCCACACTCCTGGCCCCAGGACCACGAGCTGGGGCCAGCACAGACTGGTCCACGACCTCCACCTGCACCCCTTGCCTTCAGGCCTGAGCGTGTCTGCTGATCCCATCTCCATTCATTTTACTTCTACCGCTCTCTACTCTTTCTCCATGAGGCAAGAAGCAGATTTTTAACAGACACTTGGGAAGCTATGGCCTCGAACCCCACCGTGCACGTCGGGTGGCCTATGCGTTTGTCCTCGTGGTGGGCTGTTGGTGTCCCCAGCTCCCTGGAGCCCTTCAGCAGTGGTGCAGTCTCAGTGATTCACAGGATGGGGGTGTGGCTGCCCAGGCGGCTGGTGAGCCACCGTCAGGGCTTGACTGTGATAGCCAGAGCGAGGGGTAGGGGTCCAGGGTTCCCCTCTAGGGTCAGAAAAGACATCCCGGGGCACCTCAGCAGCCCCCAGAACACAGGACACACCTGGGAGATGGGAGACCCAGCCCTGGCTACAGCCAGGAACACGAGATGCTTCATCACCTTGTGAGGAAGGCGGCAGAGCAAGCCCCTGCTCCGCATGGCATCAGCCTCAGAGAGTGGTCCTATCTGTTTGCCTTCTTTGAACTATAGCCGGGGTCAAGACAAGGAGAAGTCCTACTCCTGTGTGTGTCTACAGGTTCACGGACACAGGACAGCAAGATGTGCTGGACATGGGTGGTAACAGATGCCCACATTCAACCAAGTGTTAAGAAAAGCAAAAGTGACCAGGAGAGGCTTGGACAGGGCCAGAGACTGGACACTGCCTCCCCAGGACCCCGGGCAGCAGACTCAGTGTAGCAGAACATGGAACCGAGGATGTAAAGCCTCAGCTGTGAAGACACAGGTCTGACCGGCCTGGTGTAGTGTGTCCTCCTCCAGGACCTCTTGACTCACGTCACACCAGGTACTCTAGGGTGCCTGGGGCCTCCCTGTCTGGGGGACATGGGGAGGAACCCTCAGGCCCTGGGCCAGGGGAGGCCACCAGCAGAGGCTGGTGAGGGCCAAACCTAAGGCGCTGAGGCAGTAGAGCAGAGTTCCTAGACAGTGGAGAAGACTATCAGGACGCGTGCTCGGGAAAAGGCTGGGGTACATACACAGTGCCGTGGTGAGCCTCTGCGGCTGGTTATAGTGAACCATGGCCACACACAGTGTGTTCAAAGTCACCACACACAGCACCACCCAGTAGAAGCTCTGAGCCTTCACCATGCGCCGGATGAAGAACCGGAACATCTTCTCTTTCCTCCGGAAGTAGGACGAGCTCTCCGTCTTCCCGCTCTTGAGGCTGGCTCGGGCAAAGGGGGACCCTGCAGGGGAAGAGACACATTGCAGACACAGCCTCAGACGCGCCCTTCCCTATCTGCCCAAGGTAAAGGCCCCACCACAGTCCTCAGATGAGGAGACAAGGCTCCCGTGTGACCCCCGCTACTGTGTGCCAAGAGGGAGAGAGGGACTGAACTGGGCCAACAATCACTCTCTAACTCCAGGTCACCTTCCAGGACAGCCCTGACACCACAGGCTCTCTCCAAGCGTTGTCCCAGATTTATGAATCAGCAACAGCAGTTCCTCCTCAAATCCCACGTCCCAGTGGTCTGAGGAATTCTGCAGCCCCAGCTCTGCTCTTGTCTCAGCAGGCAGAAACCGGAGCCACCTGTTTCTTCAGTGGTTGTTGTAGACCACAGCAAGCACACCTGGGTATGTGTGGCGATGACCGCTGCCCTAGATGCAGTCTCAAATACCCCGTCGGGGGAGTTTGCTGAGGCCGCTCTGCTGACTTCTCTAGCTCTCCGCTCCTCACCCTGCTGGGCCACCCTGGCACAGCACACACAGGAGAGCCTGGTCTCGCAGGCTTCAGTGTCTCAGGCTTTCCTCCCCGGCCTCCTTTCCATCACCGGCTCCTCAGCCTGGATTCGGGCTTCCATGTCATCTCTGCAGAGAGCCCTGTCCTAATCCTCAATCTGTCAAGACAACATCTTTTTTTTTTTTGGTCAGTCATAGGGCCTGAACTTCGGGCCTGGGCACTGTCCTTCAGCTCTTCAGCTCAAGGCTAGTAGTGCTCTACCACTTGAGCCACAATGGCACTTTTGGCTTTGTCTGCTTATGTGGTACTGAGGAATTGAACCCAGGGCCTCATGCATGCAAGGCAAGCACTCTACCCCTGAGCCACCTTCCCAGCCCATAATCCTCAATCTGTAATAGGTTCTTCAGCCCCAAGCAATGGCAGTCACCTCGCTGCCACCGGCCATGCCACTGTCTGCTTGCTGACGGATCCCAGCTCCAAGGTCCAACTGTAAGTCACCAGAATGGGGCACGCCACCATGTTGCCACAGAATGCACAGAAGTGAATGCTCTCTGTGCTCCAGAGAGTTTTGTACAAGGCCTGGCCCTGTCTCTACACATGCGCATAGCTGAGCCTCATCTGTGCACCAGGCCTGAGGGCACTGTGCCCCAGAGCAACCCGCTGGGAGCAAGCCCACTTACTCAGCAGCGGCCTCTCAGGGGACCCGGCCTGGCAAGGGGCCCTGCCCCACGTGCATGGCGCTTGGTGTGCACGGACCACACTACCAGTCTGAGGAACAAGAGCAACCACTGAGCTAAGCAGGTAGATGAGCAGAAAGTACCCCACAGCCAGAGCCCATGGTGTCCATGAGCCAGCGACAATCTCCAAGACAATATGGCAGGGAACCCAGAGTATACTATACACACAGAATACATGCCCCTCCCAGCCTCCGCCTGCACATGGGCACATGCGCGCACACACACACACACACACACACACACACACACACACACACTCCCTCACTACCTCCTCCTGGGTATTTTCTTAGGAGCTAAGGGGGCCCCTAGGTTGGAGTGAAGACAAGAGAGTGTGTTTCCCTTTCAGAGTTCTATCCATAAGGGTCACAACAGTGAGGAATAGCTCCACTCTGGTCCACTGCTGAACAAGAAGGCTTGTGGTGAGACCTGGCCATGCCAAGCATCTGCTCCTTGCCCACACACGGCAGGGAGACCCAGGGCTGTGTCTGCATAGCAGGCTGAGCCATAATAGAACTTAGGAGGAGAAGTGCCAGGCCTACGGAAACTAAAATAGCTCTTCAGGAAATGTTAACCAGTTTCCTTTTACTGCCCGAGAAATAGGGCATGGAGCAAAGGCCCAGACCCGGACCCAGGAAGGAAAATAGACAGTGCTGAAGACAGATAAGCAGAAACTTTCAGTTCCTTCAGAGCTAGGGACCCTTGAAGCCAGGGACACAGTAGAGCCAAAGGCGGCGGCAGCCAGCAATGGTACTAAAGAGAGAACAGGCATGGAGCAGAAAGAAACTCCAGGAACAGCTGGGGGCAGGGAAGAAGTTAGGTTTGTGTTCTGCATCCAGCATATAGCGTTACAGAACCCGAAAACAACCCCGGGAGACTCACCCACTGCACAGAGGTCTGTAAACCGGTCCTCTCCTTCCTCTGCATGAATCAGGTCATTGCGGCTCTTCTTGTTGGCTGCTCTCTTCAACACTGCTTTAAACAAAGGGCGGTCGGGACTGTGAGCTAGAGTCTGGGGCACATGGGATGATCTCCCCAGGAGCTGCCTGCCTTTCCTGAGCTCCTGCCCGGGCACTGGAGAGGCTGCGAGGCACAGCGGGTGCTAGCGGGCGGCCCCTGCAGTCCTCCAGCAGCAGGGACAAGGAGTGTTGATGGTCTCCTTCTTCCTCAACAAGGTCAATGGGGAGGCCAGCGACCAGGGAGACCCAGAAACGTTTACCCTGGACGTGGCCAGGGCTGCGGGGGCCAGTGCAGACCTGCACTGCAGTCATGGCCATGCTCCAAGCCCTCTGCAGCTGTGTGGGCAACCTGCACAGGGGACCAGTGCAGTGCTGGCCCTCAGGAGCCCCAGCAGGTATCAGAAGCCTTCCCTTGACCTTTGGAGCAACAGCACCCCAAATCCTAGGGCAGAGAGAACTCAGCTTAAACCTACAAGCACTAACCACTCAGCCATCTGAGCTCCAATCATAGGAAGAAGAATTCTGTTGACAGTCACCTACCATCCAAAGGGGACTTCTCCTCGGCATTCTTGTCCTCTTCTGCCAGCATGACTTCCTCTGTGAGTAGACGAAGCCTCAGGTCAGAGCCAGAACCCATCCCAGGAGGGCCCAGACAGGGACAAACGGTCTGTGAGCGCCTGCTGCTCCGCTGGGGCATGGCGGGTAAACCAGGGCTGAGTCGCACATCAGGTAAACCACCGCCGAATCTTCCCAGAAGACACGGGCGCTTGCTACGCAGGGCCTGGGTGCCTAGAGCCTCTCACATGCCCTCACCTGTACGCTGCTCTCCCCCAAAGAGTTCACCGCTGAGGAGGCGTTTGGAAGAGTTTGAGTAGAAAGGAAGGGGGTACTAATCCAGGACTGAGAGAGGGAGGTCAGAGTCTAGACGTACAGAGCCTAGAGCCAGGGATCAGGGCAAGGGGCCAACCCTTTTTGGGGGGCTAGGGGGAGTACTAGGGTTTAAATTCAGGGCCTGGTGCTGTTCCTGAGCTTTTTCACTCCACTTCACTCACAGATAAGGAGACCATCTTTAGTCCAGACCACGTCAAAATCTTTCATTAAGAACCACATTATAGGGCTGGGAAGGTGGCTCAGTGGTAGAGTGCTTGCCTAGCATGCATGAAGCCCTGGGTTTGATTCCTCAGCACCACATACACAGAAAAAGCCAGAAGTGGTGCTGAGTGCTAGCTGAGCAAAAGAAGCTCAGGGACAGTGCCCAGGCCCTAAGAGTTCAAGCTCCAGGACTAGCAAAGAAGGAGGAAGAGGAAGAAGAAGGAAGAAGAAAAAAAAAGAGGAGGAAGAGGAGGAAGAGGAGGTGGAGTGGGAGGAGGAGGAGAGGAAGGAAGGAAGGAAAGAAGGAGAGGAAGAGGAGGAACAAGAAGGAGATGAAGAAGAAGAAGAACAAAAACAACAACTACAGCCACATTAGAAGCCAAGGGCCCGTGGCTCACACCTGTCATCCTAGCTACTCAGGAGGCTGAGATCTGAAGATTGTGGTTTGAAGCCAGCCCAGGCAACAAAGTCCGTGAGATTCTTATCTCGCAGAAGTGGTGCTGTAGCTAGAGTGGTAGAGTACTATCCTTGAGCACCAAAGCTCAGGGACAGTGCCTAGACCCTGAGTTCAAGTCCCAAGACCAGACAAAAAAAAAAAAGAAGAAGAAGCATATTGTAAGTCAGCTTGAGCAGGAAAGTACCTGAGACTCTATCTCCAAGTGGTTCAAGTGGGAGAGTGCCAGCCTTAACCAAAAAAGCTAAGGGACAGCGACCAAGCCCTAAGTTCAAGCCCAGTACCAATCCAAAAACAGAAGAAGAACAAAGCTGGAAGCTGGAAACCGGTGGCTCACACCTGCCATCCTAGCTACTCAGGAGGCTGAGATCTGAGGATCGCGGTTCAAAGCCAGCTGGAGCAGGAAAGTCCATGAAACTCTTATCTCCAATAAACCACCAGAAAACCGGAAGTGGCGCTATAGCTCAAGTGGTAGAGCGCTCGCCTTGAGCTGAAGAGCTGTGGGACAGCACTCAGGCCCAGAGTTCAAGCCCCACAACCGACAAAAAAAAAAAAAAGAAGAAGAAAGAAGAAAGCTGGGTTACAATGAGGCCCTGTCTCAAAACAGAAAGCATCCCAGTGCTCAGAGCCATGTGGCTGCCTGGTGCACGGGAGCACAGGGAAGCTGGGGAAGGACTCCTCACTACAAACCTAGAGACAGTCTCAGCTCTCCACCAGATCCAGGGAAACCCACGGGGTCCACCAGGGTAGCGCGATAGAAGGCAAGCCTGCAGCCACAGCCCACTCCACAGCACTTACCAGCCTTGAATATCCACTCCAGATACCCATTCAGCTCTCGCTCAATCTGCTGCTGACGGCGCAGTTTAAGGAAGGCGCGGCGGTTCTCTACCCGCTCTCTCTCCTTGGCAAACTCCCTGCACCAAGCAGAATCAGTGAGCTCAAAGACAGCCCCAGTGTGCAGCCCCAGAAACACAGAGCAGAGCGAGGACAGGGGGAGAGACCCAGACCTCCCTCCACGCCCACCGGCCCAGCTCTGCCCCTCCCTGCAGCGCCGCTGTGCCCCTCCAACGCCAGGCCTCCAGCACAGCTGTGCTCTGCCTGAAATACCCCAGCTCTCTTCCACCTGGTTCACTGCTACTCCTCTTTGGGTCTCAGATGAAATGTCACCTCCTCAAGCCTCCAAGCCTCCCCTGGCTGCCCTACCCCCAGACTAGCAGCTCTATTCCATACCCCACACCACAGACGAAGCTGTTCTCTGTGGAGGCCATTCCCCACAGAAGCAACATGCTAGTGACAACCATTCCTCACAAGAGAGGCAGCGCTAAGCGCCATTCTAGTGTTAGCGCACACAGGCCTTAGCCGAGCACTATGTGGCCACTCCTTCCCAGGCCAACACAGCGTCGACCCCTCGGAGTCACCAGGCTCGGCGGTGCAGCCCGCCCCAAAGCCCTCGCTGAAGCAATGATCTTCAACGCAAGAGGAATGGGGACTGAACAGGAGATCCTGCAGAGGCTAGCCAGGCTTGAGACCCTCCACCCCCTCTAGGGCACAGCTCATTCCGTTTTGCAAGGGTGAGAGGCCCAAGCACGTGGCCTACAGCAGGACAAGCAGACGTGATCTGCCCACAGGCCTGCCAGCCTGCTAGATCCCAATTCCAGCAAGGGTCCTGAAGCACCTTCCTCAGGCGGGACTCCTCGCCCAGAGCTGGCTCTTACCTTTTCCTGGAGCTTCTCTGTAGGGAGATGAACTAAGACAAGGGGGCAGGGTGAGTCTTGGGTGAAGAGCTAAGACTGAGGGCTGACAGAGGGGCTCAGTGCTCGAGGCTGCCTAGTCACCCCAGCACAGAGAAAGCCCGGTTGAGATGCTACAGCAGCCCTTCCCACCGCAGGAGCAGGCCCAGGCCAAGGGCGAGCAGAAGAGGGAGGTCAGGGGGTGGCCACGGAAGAGGACAGGACAGGGCACAAAGGAAAGGCTAGCAGAACTCAGGACAATGGAAATAAGGCACAGAGGGTGGCCCATGTGACGTGCCCACTTCTGTCTTCACTGCTGCTACCTCTTGACCTGAGGACATGAAGGACACCCAACCACTCCCACGATAACCCTGGGAACACACAGCTGACCACGTCTACGAAGACCTGAGCGTGGAGGAGACCGTCCCACGGGCCTTACCCTGACAGCACACCAAGCACCAGGTTGAGCATGAAAAAGGAGCCGATGATGATGAGAGGAATAAAGTACAGCCAGTTCCAGGTGTTGCCAGCCGCATCATTCGTCTGGAAGCAAAGAAAAGGAGTTGAGGAAGGAAGACACACAAGCCGGGTCACTGAGGAGCCTCGCTCTGAGCAGGCCTCCTCAGAAGGGAGCAGCTTTTGCTGGGCGCAGGTGGCTCCTGTAACCCTACGTACTCAGAAGGTTGAGATCTGAGGAACGAAATTTAGAGCCAGCCTGAGCAGACAGGTCTGAGAAACTCCTCCCCAATGAACCAGTAAAAAAAACTGGAGGCATGGCTCACATGGTAGAACACCAACTGAAAGCAGAAAAGGCCAAGTGGGAGTGCAGGGCTCTGAGTTCAAGCCCCAGAATCAGCATCAAACAAAGAAAAAATAGAAAAAGAAATAAGGACTTCCACCCCTGAGAAAATGGAATAACACATAAACATCCATACTTCTCCCACGTAAGTTCAATTAAGACTCTGAACCTTACATATAAAACCTCGACAAGGTAAAAAAACAAGGCAGACCACCTGGGACTTCAGAATCTAAGATGAATGTCTACGTTTTCTCTTTGCCTAGTATATCCCAGGTTTGGGACTGAAGAAATACAATAGATACTGACAAAAAAAAAAGCATGACTAAAAGCCAGCACTCCCTGACCAAAGGGCCAGGAAGTGATAGCTTAGCAAAACAGAAAACTTCAGACCGAAACTTTAGTATAGTTGGACTGCTCCAGGCAAATATCACAGAGAAATCTCTCGTGATACCTCCTCCTCTGCTGGCAAAACCCACTGAGGAGCCCAGACCTCAACCCCCCAGACCAACAGGCAGACCTCCTCAACACACCCAGACCAACAGGCAGACCTCCTCAACATACTCAGACCAACAGGCAGACCTCCTCAACATACCCAGACCAACAGGCAGACCTCCTCAACATACCCAGACCAACAGGCAGACCTCCTCAACCCCCCAGAACAACAGGCAGACCTCCTCAACACACCCAGACCAACAGGCAGACCTCAACCCCCCAGACCAACAGGCAGACCTCCTCAACACACCCAGAACAACAGGCAGACCTCCTCAACATACCCAGACCAACAGGCAGACCTCCTCAACACACACAGACCAACAGGCAGACCTCAACCCCCCAGACCAACAGGCAGACCTCCTCAACACACCCAGAACAACAGGCAGACCTCAACCCCCCAGACC